CCAAGCAATCCTTGCATCTGAGGAATTGCTTAATTTCATTAAGGAATGAAATTCCTTAATTTTACCTTTTCTTTTTTTTTTAAGGGGAAATTTTAAGGGCTTAATTTTACCCTTCCAGTTCTGTTCCATGTCCCACTGGGGTGAAAGGAGCTGCCTCTGCCAGGGTTAACCCACCCCACACAGAAAAGTGGAATATCTTCTGCCAGCTCAGGGACACTCAAAATTGACATTTCAACATCAATCAAACCTTATGAAAACACAAAGTTCCCTCTACCAGCTTCTACTCCACAGGAAAACTTCAAATTGCTGAGATGAGTGCTCGTGTGCCCAGTGGAGAATTAAAAATGATTACAAGTAAAAGTTCACACTGGGCATCTTGTGGCTCTCTCTTCTTACATCCCATGAGATAATTGCTCATGAGCCTGATGAAATTTCCTTCTGGCTTTTGATGAACTGTGTTCTTTCCAGGAGGGAGAAAAAACAGTTCCAGCCATTTGCTTTAATTGGAGCCGACAGTTTGCAGATTTGAGCCTGGAGCCTTGAAAAAACTCAGCAGCTGATGAGAATCCACTTTTTCCTCAATAGCAGATCTCCAAGTTAAATTTATATTGCTTTACAGTAAAAACAAACACTCCCTGCCCACACACACAACCACTAGGTAATGTTGTTTAAGGAAAAAAAAAGCAATTATTTGCTAAGTTTGAATGAAGGTCTTTGCACAGAGAAAAAAAGGGAGAATGGTATTTTAACTTTTCCATGGAAGATCTCTGTGGAAAAGAATCAGAAACTCAATATTATTGCACTGAGGGATTCCTCTCCATCTCCTGCCAGGAATCACCATCGCTTTTCTGGCCCTTGGCACTAAGAGATCAATAATCCACCACATCCATCCCTTGTTTCTGTGCCCAGAACAGTGACAAAAGCCACAATATTAAAAAAAAAAAAAGTCTAATAAAGTCAAATACAACCCACCCAGGGCAGCTGGAAAATCTCCACTGCTTAAAGAAGCAGCTTAACAGATGCATCAGGAAGGGTTTCAGTGCACTTTATCATGCCTTGTGGAAAAGGATGGACTAGGTGGCCTCAGCAAAATCCCTTCCAGAACTATTTTCAATCATCTAGAAATAGAGGATCAGACAGAAGCATATTCCAACAGTGAGAAATCTGTCCTGGCAGCAGATTTCAACTGTGCTCTTCCTTGACATTGCTCTAATATATTTCTCAGAGGCAAGACCATCTGGCCCAGAGCTGATGGTGTGGAGCCCTGGTAAAGCTCAGGTCTGCATATCTCTCACACCAGCTATCAACTCCTATTTACCATTAAAATCTGAATTCAAGCACTTAGAAGTTCATAAAATCCCAATCTAACGACACGATTGACTTGCCTGTCCATAAAGTCACTAAGTGTCCCCAAAAGTCATTCAAGAATCAAAATCCTGATTTACTGCAGGAGTGAAAACATCAAGAGGAATTAACTCTGATGTCCTGAGAGGTGGTTGAATAGTGGGGCTGAGGAAACACAGAGCTGTGGCTCTGGGGTAGGGCTGCTCACAGGTATTTAGACTCCAGGACCCTCAACACCAGTGGTACAAAGGGATTAACAAAACCTGTGAGTTAGGAACACAATTTTTCCTCCTCCTTCAATTTTTCCAAGTCAAAAGCAGCTCCTTCAGCCTGGCACGGAGGGAGCTGGAGCAGAAAACCTGCTGGATCCCTGATGAGCCTTGATAGCTCATCCTAACAATTTGAGATTCCCCTTCAGGCCTCCAGAAGGGTCAGCACTGCACTCCTGCCTGCTTTCAGCCTGCAACTTGCCCTTTCTGTGCTCTGAAAGCAGATCACAAGGTTTAAATCTAATCTCTCCTGACATGCCTTTGGCCAGGCAGGCATGTGGGAGCAGAACAAAGTGAAGAGGAGCTCTTGCCTTACTCAACCAAGGTTTGAGGGTCAGCATGTCCATCAATTCACCTCCAGCTCTGTGCATTTTACAAGTCCAGATGTTTTCTTTGTGCTCTGGGCACTCGGGAGAATCCAAGAGCATTCTGCAGATGGCAAATGGAGCCATAGGTACACGTGGGATTGGTGGCAGAGCCAGGGACAAGGCTCACACATCCCAACTGCAAGTTCTGCTCTCCACAGCCTGGACACAGGAAAGAAGGAAACAACAGATTCCACTTTGTTTAAGGAGAATTCAATGATCTCTCTCCCATCAGAGCTGCCAGGGAGAGTGCATGGAAAGGTGTGCTGGTCTCCTCTGAGAACACTGAATTACAACTCTACAAAAATGCCCTTGACAAGCCATGAATTAGAATCCTTGAAAAACAACCAGAACTCAAACAGGACTCTCCATTCTAGCCCTGGAAAACAGAACTGAAGGGAAAGGGTAGGATCAGAGCTGCTGTGAGTGGCACAGTGACACTGAGCACAGCCCTGAATCCTGCCAGAGCCCAGGAGCACTCCTGGAGCAGAGATGATGAACAAGACAAACAGATTTGATGGGAACAGGCAGGGACAACACGACCTCAGAGAGCTGAACTAGGTTGGAGAGAAAGCCTTCACCTCCAGAGAAACCAGCAGCCTCTGTGAACAGCAAAACCAAATGTGCACAAACACAAGGCAGGAGCTGAGCTCCTTTCTGAGGCAGCAGCCACAGCTCTGAGCATCCTGTGCAGCAGCAGAGAATCTGAAAAATATAAAAGCTAAAACCCAAGGCATCACTGGAGCCACCCACTTCTAGATCAAGACAGCTTAAAAAGCCATGGACATACCCCTCTTCCCAAGAAAAAGGGAAGGAGACAACTGCAACCACCACACTTACAGTACTCCCACAGTTTTTTGCAGTTTCCCAGACATTTGACAAAGTTTTAGTGGAAAAGGCATCCCAGTTCTTCCAAACAAATCCCAGCAGTGGCCATTGCACACCAAAGCAGGAGAATAACAGATTCTTCATACGAATTTGGCACAGGATTTTTGCAGCCACAGAGCTCCAAACATGCACTCAAAATAAATGTCAAAACATATGATGCTATACAGCAATATCAGAATAAGCAGAGAATTGTGCCCAGCCAAATATCACACAAATATGAAGCTCCTTCTCAAGGCAGTGACTCACAGAGCTGTGCTGTGCAAAGAGGAAGGGATGGGAAACACATTTACCTTTGTGCAGCCTAAAAAGGCAGTAACACTTCAATAAAACAGAGCAGTGGTGATGCTGTTAAATGACAGCTGTTAATAATGCTGCAGACACCCTAAAGGAACTCCTGCCCTTCCAGCACAGAATTAAATCAGTCTTAAAAACAAGCATAAGGTACTGAGGATACACCAGTGGTAGAGCTGAGGTTACACAGAGTTACCTGATACCCAACTACTGCCCTGTAAGTTAAAAAAGAACTTTTTAAAAGAACCACCATGTGCTCAAAAGATATCACCTGCTCTAGACACCTACAACTCAGAGCAAAAAGCAAAGCTCAAAACAGGGCAAGAACCTCTCCAGCTCTGCCAAGGTTGTGGAAGCTTCCCCTTTCTCATCTCCATTATCTACGTGACATACAGCATCATTCCCATCGTAATAATGTGGGATGTGGGTTATTTACAGGAACTGTTGCATCCCTTGGCAATTCACTCCTCCAGATCCTGAGACCACGAACGAAAAATTCAACAGGTAATCAAGCATGGAGGAAGGTCCTAGAAGGATGCACAACTGCATCATTCTTCATAGCAAGCAGTTTCAGGAAACCATGGAGCTGTTAAACAGAGGAGAAATAAAAATGGTATTTCCTTTGAGCCAAATACACTCCTCATATAGAGACAGAGAAGTGCAGAGGATATCATGAGGCTCTTAGCCAAAAAGAGAGAAGGTTCAGCAGTAAAGCCAAGCTCAAGTGACCTCCATGAAGGTGAGCCAGGGCTCACTTGCTTCTCAGTGAGGTAGAAATCAGAATTTGTGACATTCAGAAAGTAATTCTGCAGCTGAGCATGGGCAGTGAAATGAGAGCAAACACCTTCAGTGCCTCCGGTGCAGCTGCACCAACTTCTCCGGGTTTAGTCTGGCCCTTTCTACCTCCATTCAGGACTGGAAATACAGAAACACAGGAGAGAAAAAGCCACACGTGTCCCAGCTCCGAGCTTCCTTCCCCACGCTCCAGGGACAACGAAATTCCCGGCAGGAATCACTGCCCCCAGCTCGGGCAGCCAGGCCTCACCTGCAGTACCTGTTGGGGAACAGGCCGGGTGTTCACACCCTGCAGGGCAGCCAGGAAAACACGAACCGAGCCGGAGCAGCAGCGGCGGGCGCGGCCTCAATCCCGGCTAAAAGTGTGGGAACCACCCGGGTAAAGGTGTCGGAACCAGCCGGCCTAAAACTGCCAGAACCAGCCGGGCTAAAGCGGCCTCAATCCCGGGTAAAGGTGCGGGAACCACCCGGGTAAAGGGGCCAGAAACACCCGGGGAAAGAGGCTCAATCTCGGCTAAAGCTGCCGGAACCACTCGGGCTAAAGCGGCCTCAATCCCAGCTAAAGGTGTGCGAACCACCCGGGTAAAGGGGCCTGAATCTCGGCTAAAGGTGTGCGAACCACCCGGGGAAAGGTGTCAGAACCAGCCGGGCTAAAGCGGCCTCAATCACAGCTAAAAGAGCCAGAACCACCGGGGGAAAGCGGCTCAATCTCGGCTAAAATTGACGGAACCACTCGGGCTACAGCGGCTTCAGTCTCGGCTAAAGGTGTGGAAACAGCCGGGTTAAAGGGGCCAGAACCACCCGAGCTGAAGCGGCCTCAATCCCGGCTAAAGGGGCCAGAACCACCCGGGCTAAAGGGGCCAGAATCACCCCGGCTGAAGGGGCCTCAGTCCCGGCTAAAGGGGCCAGAACTGCCCCGGCTGAAGGGGCCAGAAGCACTCCAATAAAGGAGCCAGAATCGCCCCGACTAAAGCTGTCAGAACCACCCCTGCCGCTTTCCAGCTGCCCCAAGCTGAGGAGAAAACCCCAGGAAAAGGCAGGCACGTACCTCAGCGCGAAGGCAGAGCCGAGGATCCCCAGCACCACAACCCCAGCGCTGCTCTCGCCGCCGTCCCTCCTCCATCCCCACAGCGGCGCCCGGGCGGGCGGAGAACGCGGGTGAGGGGCTCTCCTGAGCTGGGATCTGCCTTTATCCCGGTACCTCCTGCTGTGGCTGTGGCAAATCCCCCCCTCCCCAGAGCCGGGCCGTGTCCCCGGAGCCTCTCCGTGTCCCCGCGGCCGCTCCGCGTCCCCGCGGTGCTGCTGCCGCAGCCGCAGCTCGGCCCCGCGGCCGCCCCGCCTGCGCTCCCTCCCGAGGGCAGCCGGGAGCTGTAGTTCCGCTCCGGGCGCTGCGACTACAACTCCCAGAAGCCCGCGGGGAGCCCGGGGGGGAGCCCAGGGGGTGCCCAAGGGAGAGCAGGGGGAGACCAGGGGGAGACCAGGGGGAGCCCAAGGTGGCCCAGGGGGAGCCTAAGGGGAGCCCAAGGGAGTCCAGGGGGAGGTCACGGAGAGCCCAAAGGGAGCCCAAGGGAGTCCAGGGAATGCCCAAGGGGAGCCCAGGAGGAGCCCACCGGGCGCTCTGACTATAACTCCCGGGAGCCCAGGGAGAGCCCAAGGGGGCCCATGGGGAGTCCCAGGCCCGCCCCGGTTCGGGGGTGGGGGGAAAGGTTCGGCACAAAGTCCAATGTGGCCGGGCCAAGGGATGGGGAAGGGATGCGGGAGGGATGCTCGTGGGTAAATGGTTCCATGTTTGGGGTTTTGGGGATCCCTCAGTCCAACAAGTCCTGGGTTTAGCAGGATTGGGTGTTAAAAGAGTGGGTTTGGATTGGATATTAGGGGGCAGTTCTGCGCTGTGAAGGGGGTGAGGCACTGGGAGAGGTCACTGGGGGAAGGTGGAGATCATCCATCCCTGGAGGTGTTCAGTGCCAGGGCTTGGAGCAAGCTGGGGTAGTGCAAGGTGTCCCTGCCCATGGACAGGGGTGGAATGAGATGATCTTCAAGGTCCCCTTCCAGCCAAAACTGTTCTGTGATACCACGAAGGAAATTCCTGTCTCTGTTCAGCAGGTGGGCTTTAAAATCTTCCTCCCACTGCCTGTCCCAGCCTTCTGCCTGGAAGGAGATGATGGGTGGCTGAAGGGCCACCACACATGGATCTGAACCCCTGAGCCATGGAATGGGTTGGGTTGGAGGGGACCTTAAAGCTCAACCCTGTTGTGCACCTTCCACTAGGCCAGGTTGCTCCATCCAGCCTGGCCTTGAACCTTAAAGCATAGGACTGCTGCTTTTATAATTGCCTTCAGAGGCAATTTAGGAGTTTGCATCATGTCTGTGACGATAACAGTGGTGACAGCGTTCATGTGACTCTCTCCTGTCAGGTGCAGGACACACAAAACTCCGCTGACTTTGCCCCTGCTGAGCTCAGAGACACCTTGAAAAACTCTGGTTTAAGTGAGGTAAAACCTTGCCAGCATTAATGCCCTGCACTCACAGCAGGAATGTTGGCAGCAAGGTGACAAAAAAACCTCCCTTGTCCCTTCAGGAGCAGCACCAGAGCCCTGGAAGTGAAGCAGAGGGAGGAAGGACATGAGGCAGCAGCATCGCCTGGGGCTGGTGGAGACTGAAGAGAGCAAATTTCTGAGACAGTGTCAGGGCACTGCAGCTGTTCCCCTGAGTTTTATGGCTACAGGGTACAAAAGACCTGTCCAAAAACAAGCTTGTCACTGCCACTTGATAAATCCAAACAGCAGGACTCGGTGTCCCTTGTCCTCTGTGTTGCGTAAAAGTGATGTTGGCCAGGGCAGCTTAAACACACACACACACAGGGGGGAAATGTGAACAGTGAGCACAGAATGAGGGCATTGATGTGCCCTGCCTTTCATGGCAGCCTTGGGCCACAAGGGGAAAAGTCACATTTTGGGATGTGGTCGGTGGGTTTGAACGTGCTGTGGTGTTGCCTCCCTCAGTTTGATTTTTGTCAGGCAGATTGGTAAGACGTGGGAAACTGTAAATAGAAAAATGGAAATAATAATGGAAATATAAAAGTGAATTAGAGGCAGGTGAGTGCAGCCAACACCAATTGTCCTGCAAGATCCGTTCATAGAGTTTTGGGCTCACTCAATAAATACTGAGATAATTTAGGCTTTAATTTTACCAGTGCTTGTTCTAAACAGGAGCTTGCACATCCAGGCTCTGAGTTATGTCAGGTTGGGTTTTTTTTTTTCCAAGCTAATTTCACTTTAAAAAATAAAAATGAAATATTTTAAAACTCTAAAATCTTAATTCAAGCAAATCTCTCTTTAAAAATAAAAATTAAAAACTAAGTATTTCTATATTGAAAATTATTAAAATTCAAGCTAATCTCTCTTTAAAAACAAAATTAAAGATTAAAATAAATTGTTGAAAATAAAAATAATTCAAGCTGCTCTCTCTTTTAAAAATAAAACCAAAAATCAAATTGACTGTTTGCAAAGTTACTTTCTCAGGCATCATCAGCCCAAAAAGCAATAGGTCAGAATGCAGCAATGAAAACTCAGCTTGGACTTTAAGGAAAATTTGGGCATTGCAACATTTACTGCAACGGCCTGGAGTTGCACAACCCTGAATATTGAGGAGAAACCTTTGCTTTTCCATGGCCCCATCCCGGTTTTCCAAGGATCTGAGCAGGAATCGTTCTTTGCCCACTGGATGCCGCTGTTCCACAGAAATATTCATGGGTTCAGCACCTCCTGTCAGCCATGGAAGCCACTCCAGGGATTTATCCCTGTGAACCTGCCTTTTTTTTTTTTTTTTCCCCAAAAAAAAGAAATCTCCTTAATATTTTGCACCTTCCGATCATGGCACGTGGAAAACTTGGGCCACTTGATCCCTTTGTGATGTTCTTTGAAGGTGAACTTTTCATGGGACAAAAATATATTGGTGGGATAAAAATATATTGGTGATTGAGGGGAAAACAGGCTGCCCAAAATGTGTTTTCAGCACCTGTAGAGAAAAATAATCCCTCCAAGTGCATGTCCTGCAGTGCTGTTTTGCATGCTTAATACAAGAAAAAAAAAAAAAAGAAATTTGGAGAATGCTGTCCTTAAAAGCAGAGCCTGGAAGTGGCAGCAGGAGCCACTGGTGTTACCTTTGGAGGCAGTGACCTGGATAAAGGATGAGTGTGCTCCCACTTTTCAGGGAAAAATCAACGATATTTATAGCTCAGCTCAGCCTCAGAACAAAGCAAAGTGACCTACATCCCTCCAGTGCCCAGCTTTGGGAATTCACTTTGAGGAAATTCAGTTCTACTTTTAGGTCTCTCTCCCCTAAAGCAAATGGAACCACAGTTTAATAGAATCCAAACCCAAGGGGGATTTCTCTTTATTGCCTCCCCCAGCAAGTTTTAGCACTGAAAAGCAACTGGAAAATGTAGCAAAAGGAATAATTAAGGGTAGCAGGACCAGGCAGGTGACAGACCTGGCTGAATTCTGGGGTGGCTGTGCCTAAAGCCTGAGGTTTTGTGGAAGAATCTAATAGAGAAAAGAAACCCATAATAAATTGCTAAATATCAAGTTTTGCCCCTGCACTCTGTCTGCTTGCCCAGAAGCACACATGAAAAAAAAAATAAAAAAAAGGCAAATACCCATTCAATTATTTATTGTGTGTTTGACTTTGGGGTTAGAGGATTTCAAAATCAGAAATGTCTTCTCAGCCTTCCTCTCGAATATGGTTTATTTTTTATGCTGGAGGAGCACAGCATATGGAATTCTGCAAGGGAAGCCTGTCCATGCTGCTATAATTAGCTGCTGGTGGTCACAGCAGGCATCTTGACTTCTTTATTATTTTAAAATTCTCAGCACTGTGTGATGGGATGAGTTTCTACCACCCCGGAATGCTAATGGGTGGGAAAGGCTGGGAGCAGAGCAGCACCCTGCTGCATTAACAGAGCCTTCAAAATCCCAAAGTGATCCTGAAATCAGTGGGATTACACCAGCCCTGAACCTGGGCCCAGCCACAGGGTATACAAGGAAACCAATCCTCCTTTATTTTTTTATATATATATATATATATATTTCCCTGCTGCTGCAGTTATTTTAGCAACTCACTCATGTACCTGAGTGTGGCTGTAAATGAATATTTGGCTTTTTTCCTGGGGAATTGGGTCCTTGTACCTCCCTGTCTGTGGTGCACACACAAGGATTTTATGAACAGTGCTCGTGCTGTAATTCTTGTCAGGTCCTGTCCTAAATCAGAGTTAATTTTTAGAAGTGAAACTGCACACAGCAACCACACACAACGTTTGTATGAACACTGCTCGTGCTGTAATTCTTGTCAGGTCCTGTCCTAAATCAGAGTTCATTTTTAAAAGTGAACCTGCACACAGCAACCCCAACCCCTCCAGTCCTTGATGAACCAGGTTTGGTGATTTTTACAATCACAGGTTTCTGCTGAAAACCCAACTGATGAAATCCTGGTGCCATTGCAGGTCCTGGGGGAGTCACCAGGAGGGACATCCCATCTTTGCTGCAGGAGTGCTGAGGAAGGAAGGAAACATTGCAAAAATTCCCTACCAGGGTCCTCTCTCCACTCCTGCAATGCCCAGGGAAGGGGATTCACTGCCATTCCCTCACAGGGAATTTGGATTTTCTATCCACACACCAAGACAGGGAATTTGGGAGCAAATTGGAATGTGAGCCACTGCAGCATCCCTTGGTGCCGAGCTGGAGGCAGGGAGGACATGCAAACAAACAAGGAGCAGGGAAAGAGGGGAAACTTGGCAAAGTTTCAGGGAGAAAAAGCTGGAATTTCAGCATGACTGTCTGGTGCTGGGCTCCTCAGGGTGTTTAAATGCTCTGTAGGACTAAGCTTGTGCCACCCATCATCTGCACAAGAGGGGCTTGAATTTGCCCTGGAGGGGCTTTTTTCTTGTCTAAACGGTATAAGGAGGGCTGGGAGGACTTTGCACGAGGTTTTTTTATTGAGTGTTATGTAAGAAGCAGACTTGGAGCTCCTTGAGGCTGACTTTGCAGGCAGTGCTGGCTGGAAGGAGCGTTTTTGTGCAGCTGAATTGGCTGCTGTGCCTCCAGCCACGGGATCCGGGAGAGTCACAGGCACTCCTGCAGATTTTATCTCCCCACACAGCCCAGGGATTGCACAAGGAGGCAAAT